AAACTACGGGGAACCATGCAAAAAATGCATCTTCGCACGGGCAGCCCGTGCGTTGGCCAATTTTTTTTAAGAGGGCCTTAATCCTGAAGTGTCACAGCTAAAACCGCCATCTTAGCCAATATAATTACACATGTGCCGTAAGAAACGTTCAACCCCGTCTTGCTCCTACTTTTATTAAAAAGACTGTTAATTTCATTATTTTCATTAGCATTTTAGTAGGATTCCAAATTTTTCAGTACTATTTAATAGTATGAAAGGTGAGTTGCAAACTGCAAATTTTGGCTGTTTCCTTCGTCGAGGACTTCAACGACTATCACGAGGCATTGGTGGTCTGTGACATATTAGTGCCGCATATTCGACCGTCGTGTTTTGCGGTAACGGGGTCTATTTTTGCATGAGTACTGTGTTTTGTACAGGAAAGATCCGTGAGATGAAGGGGGATCAGCTGAATACCGTGGAGTTGGCCGATTCGATTGAGGCCTGTTACACGGGCGGAGTGGTGCAATGGAGTGCTGATGGGAGCACATTCTTCTCGGCTTGTGGCAATTATATCAAAACAATGAATGTGGACGATGGCAAACAGAGGTCAGCTTTTTATTCTTATTTTGATAATGTCCCCTTTGTGAAGTTTAGTATTCCAGTGATTTTCGGGTTATTTCGCGTATTTATGTGAAAAATCGTTGAATTTTTTTGCTGAAAAAAATTGTTTTTTTCAGTGATTATTTAGTCGTCGTCTTCATTTTCGTCATTGTTGCAGCTAGCATCTTCTCCATTTTTATCTTTTTTGAGTCTCTCTTATCTGTGTTCTCTGCAGGCGTTCAGAGCATTGACCTTCTTCTCTGTACGTTTGAAATATGGTGTAAATACCACTCAGTAATCTTGATAGGTATTCCTAGTTCCCGCGTACAGCCCCTTGAGGGTTTCTGACGAGAAAATCGCTAACTTGAGAACCGGGAAAGCTAGGAGGCTGAAATTTTAAGGAGATGTTTCCTGCACATGCACAACTTAAAGTCATCAAGTTCAGCAACTAGGCATACGTGGTTCTCACGTACGAATCCTTGAAATTTTTTTTCCGAGTGAACTACTAACTCGGGGACCAGGAAAGCTGGAAAGCTGAAGTTTTAAAACGATGTTCCCAGCCCACGTACGACTTAAAGATTTCAAACCCAGCTCCCAGATTGCGTGTGGCCCGGTGAAAATTTTGACGGGAAAACACTTGGGAACCAGAAAAGCTGGGAAGCTGAGATTTTAGGAGAATATTCCCCATTCAAATACAATTTAAAAATTTCAAATTCATCCCCCAGGTACGCGTGATTCTGGTGTACGAGCACTTAATGTTTTGGTGGGAAAATTACTCATTGAACAGCTAGGTCATTTTCAAAAAATGGCTGCTAAGTGGAAATTGTTTATTTTCGTTTATGCAAAATTTATGATGATTTACGGTATTGAGCGCACAAGGTAGCTATAAAGAAACAGCCATTCATGTAGTTAACCTAATTAGTTCAAGTGTGGTGCAAAAACACATGATCGCGCCGGCTCGCCTGGTGCGTTCCAACCTACGGTTCTTTTTTTCGAAATTGATATTCCGAGTTTCGTTTCCCCTCTCAATCGTCGCAAGTTCATTTAAATAGGCTCAGTAATATTTTGGATTTTTTCGGATGAGTACAACAACGGAGAAAATAAGCATTTGGAGTGGTTCTTTGTCGATTCAGAATCCGTACTGTCTTTCATTTTTCCTTTGAGCTTTTTCGCATGCATCGGTAAAGAACTTGCGAAATTAGTTTTGCTACACTTCGCATCTCTGCGAACATTTATTTTTAAAGGTTGTTCGAGAAAACCTTTTTTTTTTTAATAGGACTGATGAGAGAATCGTCGTTAATTTGGATGTACGCCGAATCGACTTCATGAATTTTCTCCTACCTAGTTAATACGTTCTTGAAATCGGCGGGTAGCAGTCAATAGGAACTTATATCTCTTGCATTTTTCTTCCAATTGCCGTGATAAATGTTTTAAATTTTTGGACAGTTTTGTTATTTTGTGTGTTTGCAGTTATACGATTGGGAGTGAGGACGAAGACGGACTGCGTGTATCGGCGTTCGTGCTATCTCAGGACGATGAGGCCAGCATTGTTGTGGCTTACACCAATGGCCTTTTGCGAAATTACAGACTGCCAGTATCGCCGAGTACCAGTCCGGATATATTGCGCCAATGGAAATCCACTCATAAGGCGCCTGTATTGGTGATGCGATTCGAAAACTGCCTGTTAGCCACTGGCTCGGCCGATTTTTATGTCAAGGTTTGCTCTTT